TGACCCCAGCTAAGACAGAGGTTGTCAGGGGCCTTTGTGTCCAAATCACCCCCCCCAGGGGCATGGGCTGGTCCCATATTACTTAAAGAGAAGTGGAGGGCCCTGGCTCCAGAGGGCTCTGTATTTCCCTGGGAGGGGAGTCGGGCAGAACACAAATAAGACACTTTATTCAGAGAAACCATCTCCCCTATTTACATTTAAATTGAATAATTTAAAACACCTTTATCCATTTCCATAAATTATCCCCCATTGGACGGGAAGTCCAACTGTGTGGAGGGGGTGCCGTCCTGGGGAAAGGCCTAATTACATTCCCTGCTACAGGGCTGAGGTGGGAGGGGAGGGGGGGGAGGTGCGGAGGGGCAGGCAGGCCTGGGCGGAGGGAGCTCCAGAGGAGGCAGACATTTGCCTGGAACTAGCAGGAAGGAGGAGGGAGCTAAGAAGAGGTGAGGTCCCTTTAAGAGCTTTGCAACTGAGAGGTGAAGGGCAAAAAAGTCTTCCTTTTCTCAGAGGAGTGAAGTCTTTGGGACCAGCCAAGGACATCACTCAAGTTTGATCTGGGTCAGCCGTCCTCTGTTTCCGGCTCCTGCAGACCCAGTGTCTGGCGTGGGGGCAGAAGGGGAAGAGGAGGAAAGAACAGGCTTCCCTCCGGGATGACTTCCTTACGGGGTGTTTCCCAAACACCTGTTATTTGCCAGGCTTCCCTGCAGAGTGCTGGGGACACAGGGCTAAAGCCCTGCCCTTCTGGGCTTCCGCAGAGGCTGGGAGGGACTGATCCGAGGGGAGGTGGGAGGAGCCAGGCTCACAGAGGAGGGGCTCTCTGGATGGCCCTGGAAGAATGTGGATTTCGGAAGGTGCTGAGGAAGAGAGAAGGCCTTGCTGAGAAGGCACCGGTGTGGAGAAAAGGCTCTGAGGGGAGAAGGCTCCGGGTCTAGGGCCTGCGGAGACCAGAGTAAGCTCAGGGGAGGAGGAAGAGTTGTTCAGGAGGCGGGCCTGGTGGCATCACCACAGCGGTCTCCCTTCACGGCCCACCTGTGAGCCTGCGTGGTTGGAGCTTGGGCCTTGCGACCCTCTGTCACTGACTCTGGTTAGGCCCTTCTATTGCCCAAGTGCCTCAGTTTCCCTGCCAAGTGCCCAGGGAAGCTGCAGGCTCTTCCCAAGCCCCCTGACGCAGAGGGATTGGATTCCTGGCATTGGCCCAATTCGTCTTCAGGGCTCTGGGGCCTCTCTGCCTCCGGAATCTCCCGGGCTGTCTCCCTACATCCCTGCCCTCCCGGGATCACCTCCCTCTGGCCTTTCCCAGAGATGGACGTCTCTCCAACTTCCCTCCTCTCAGTCAGGGTGGCTCTGGACACAGAGTAGAGCCCCAAATGACTCCGTCTTCTCCCCCACTGAAGACAAAATGGCAGGTGAATTGTGTGGAGTAGGGGTAATTTGGCTTGGAGAGGGGGACAGTGAAGGAGGCTGGTGACAAGTTCTCTGGTGCTTATGACCACCCTGCGAGGCAGGCATGATTAGCTCTGCTTAAGAGATGAGGAGGCAGAGGCTTCGAGCTGGAGAAACCAGAACTTCAACTTTGTTCCGTCTGCCTTGGAAGCCCCTGCTGTTGATCGCAGGCCGAGCTGTGTGGCTCATAAGGATGCCAACCAGCAGTTGCTGGTGAGTTGTGCTGCGCTGTGGGCCATGTGAGCAGATGGGGCATAAACCTCTCTGTGAAAACAGATTCGAGTGGCCATAGTGGTGCTGAAAATCCGTGCAGTCCCCTTGCGTGTTAATGGAATCTTCCTGAAGTGTTTCTTTGCCATCATCATGGGCCCTCCTGGGGGAGGAGGGCACATCCGGCAGGAAAAATGCCTGTGGGTCAAGGCACGCCTGGTCCCTTCTCCCGATTTTCAGAGCTAAGGCTCTTGAAATAAGCTCCTCTATTCTAGGAAAGAGATGTCTCCCCCAGTGGCCTCTGAGCCTGTCCCCGGCAGCTACTGTCCCTGCCGGTCAAGCCAGGGGTTTTGTCCTCTCGTACTGGAACCAGACAGGTGTATGTTCAGATCCTGAATCTGTCATCTGCTAGCTGTGTGACCTTGGGAAAGTCACTTGCCCTCTCTGAACCTGAGTCTCATTAGGATCAGAATGCCGATCTCAGAAGGTGGTTGTGAGAATCAGATGAGATTGTGTAGTGAGCCGCATGGCAGAGAGCTCAGCACACAGAGCAGTTGCTCACTAAACGTCAGCTGCTTTTCTGACAGGTCTACCACCTGATAATGAGGTCCTCCCAGCTGCCCCTCGCCTTTTCTGGGAGACCTTCCACGGCTGGCTCCCTGTGATGGCCGTCTCAGTGCTCGGTGTCCTCTGGACATCGTGGTGGTCGTTTTACCGCAATTGACTTAAAGCCGCTGTGTCTCACTCCACTTGTGTCTCATTTTCCTTTTCTGTTGAAAGATGCAAAAATAATACTTACCTGACAAAGGTGCTGTGAAAATTAGGTGAGAAAGAGCGTGGGTTCAGCACCCAGTATGATGTGGGGCACGCCGCCCTCACTCTGCAGCTGCACTGTTGCGTGTGGGTGGGTGGGTGGGGTGGGCTGCTCCCCATCAGGTTGGGTCCTCCCCGGCGGAGATGCCCCCTGTCTGACTTTCCCAGCACCAAGCAGAGCAAGTCCTCACCCTGCAGGGTTCAGGCTCCTGGGGAAAAAGTCCCCCTCCCTCCCTTCATAGGCTCTCAGGGCATTCCTCTTACGAAGTTGGTCACTGTGCATTAGCTATCGATGAAGTGGTTGCAGGTGTGGCCGGGATGACAGTGGAACTATTTAGGGATGATTTTCAACCCTCTGCTGAGGTTTCTCATTTGAGGTTAGGGTGTCAGTGATCTTCAAAATAGGGATCTCCTATTTAATCAACAAAGAGCTTTTGAGCTTCTGAACGATTGAGCAAAGCAAACCCTGAGCTGCATCCTGGGCTCAGATTTGGGGACTAGAGACACCTCCAGGTCCCAGCCCAGACGTACCCCCTGATATCATCTTGCTCATGCCAGCCCCGTCCCAGGGATGGTTAATTAGCCAAGTTCCATCACCCTGGGAGAAGGGGGCCAGCAAAGGCTGATGTCATGGGGGAGCGCTGTCGTGGACTTTCTGGATTATGACTCAGACACAACTGGCTATTTGATTTTTTAAATGAATTTCTTATTTCTGACTTTTAATGAATTTCTAATTTCCCCGGGCTTCAGTTTCCTCATAAAACAGGGGATTTGATTAGATGAACTCCAGGGTCATCTGCAAGTTTTAGAGTTCTGAATTTCTAGGTCTAACCTGAATCCCTCTTGCTGTATTTGAAGCCAATTGATACTATAGACTTGGTATAGACACTTATATTTGGTAATAAGTGACCTCAGATAAATCCTAGAGGGCTGTATTTTTAGTCTTTCCTAGTAGAAGAGCTTTGGTGGGATTGTATTCTAATTAAATATTTAATGGGATGTATCTGCCTGTTAAAATCACTGCCACCACCGTGCGAATGGATCTTCTTTGTGTTCTTATTTGCAGCTTGTCTGTAAATGGCAGCGCTAAGCCCAGCTGGAAATCTAGCCCCCAAGACCATGTGGGATCCAGGGATCCAAATAGGTTGTCCAAAGAGCAAAGGAAGGTTTCAGGGCTCTGAAGCTGCCCTTCCCACTCCACTTCCTGGAGCCGATTATGGTACTGCCAGCAGGATCCAGGGAATGGGCTCAGGCCCGGGTTTGGGGCTGCTCTTTATTCTGCCTGCGCTCTGAGAGCGGGGGAGAGAATATGTGCTTTTTCTCTACGTTAATAAAGCCCAAAATGAGTCTTCATTAAGGGCTCCATTAAGAAGCCACTGTTATTCTTGGCACTCATTAGCGTTGCTGCTTACCACTAAGTTTCCACACTGTTGCTTCCCTGGGGTTTGGCAGGGCCCCCTCCCCATGCTGGAGAGCTGCTCATAAGAGAGACCCCAACTGGCTGAATCTCAGAGGCGGAAGAACTAGGGCTTCCCCAGTCCATTTCATCCATTCCCCTGTCTCTGGACAATTGCCTGTCTGCCTTGTAGAGCCCCTGGGAGCAGCCTGTGTAAGGGGTTTGTAGCTCTAGTTGGAAGTTCTTCTTCTTGTCTAACTGCCCTCTTTTGCTGCAGTGTGAGCCAGTTTGAACCCTTCACTAGGATAATGAAGAGTATCTTTCTAAGAACACCTTGCTTCCTTCTTCTGAGTTTAGGTCCTAGATTAATTTCGGTAACTGATGAAACCCTGTCTCCTTCCTGTATCCCTGTGGGAAGACCCATCCCTAGATAACATCTGCACGTTAAGCATGACTCTTAGGGTCAGTTCCACCTCCCCCCATTTGTGCCCTTCTTCTGTCTCTAGCTCCTATCTTCACCCGTGTTTTCTCCAGGCCTCCGGACCACTCCTGGGCCTTTATCAGGACCTGTGTCTGCCTGACCCCTTCCCCCCAGAAGCACCAACTAACACACATTAAATGCATACTGTGTGCCAAGAATTGTGCTAGGTCTTCGATCTCACTTAGCCAGAATTGTAATCCTGCCAATGACTGGGACCATTTTGGAAATGAGAAAAACAAAGCAAAACATGACAACAAAAACAAAAAAACTGAGCCTCAATGGGCTTCAGGTTTTCGGCCACACAGGTAGTTAAAGGTAGAGCCAGAATTGAACCCAGGTGTCCTGACTCTAGGTAGGATGCCCCTGCTTCACTGAGTCATCTTTGTCTTCTCCCTCCTTCAGGTCTCAGCATAAGGACCAGCGAACATAAGAAAGGGCTTGGATCCATAGCTAGTGGCTTGATGCCGATGTGACGAAAAATTAGACTAAAGTTCTTCTCTCACATGTCTGAACTTCCACATCCAAGTGTGTGTTGTTCCTTCACGTAGCGCACTTGGACAGTTTGGTACATGCACCAATCATGTCACATTGTCGGCGCCTTTGGAACTCCCCTGTGGCATATGGTCCTGACTGTCGGTGACTATTTATCTTTTTCAGGGTGAACTGTATCTTTGGAAATACCCCAGAGTGATGTGGATTCAGGTCTGAGGGATCAGGTAAGGCACCAAAACAGGTGATTCTACTTTGGCTCACTACCCTTTAAAACATTGCTCAGTGAAATGTGGTATAGACATTCACTGTTCCACAGGTCCCAGCCTATTGTTGTGCCAAGGATTTCTCCCAAATGTCTCAGAATCTCGACGTGTGAAATAAAGCTTGAGCGGCTGGGGAAGAGGGGTGAGGGACGAGTGGACACTGATGCTCAAAACCAAATGGCCCATGACATTTCCTCATGATTTTGAGCCACTTTTTGGGCCTGGGGAGTTGGAGTCCCCTTGGCAGATGCATTGGTTCTCAGATCCTGGGTCAGTAGGGTTATCGGTGCTGCGTAGTCTGACTTTATCTGGAAGACACAATAAGTAGAAATGATTTCTCTTTTGTCCATGACAAAGGTTTGGCTCAACCTTTTATGAAACAATTCCCTGTTTGTTTGTTTTATAGGAGTCTGTTTCTTTGCCTTAGCTGAACAACTTAGCTGTCATTCTCATTGTTAAGTATCCCTTTCAATGAACTAAATCTTTTGCCTTTTTCAGTATTTCCACTGGCTTCTGGGAGGGCAGGAGAGGGGCTAGACAATTGCTTCTGGTAATGTCCTGGTTATCTTCCTTCCTTTCTTTTTTTTTTTTTAAGATTTTATTTATTTATTTGAGAGAGAGAGAATGAGAGACAGAGAGCATGAGAGGGAGGAGGGTCAGAGGGAGAAGCAGACTCCCTGCCGAGCAGGGAGCCCGATGCGGGACTCGATCCCGGGACTCCAGGATCATGACCTGAGCCGAAGGCAGTCGCTTAACCAACTGAGCCACCCAGGCGCCCTATCTTCCTTTCTTTAAACCTGGTGTGTCTGTGACATCCCATTGTCTTGGACATTATCTCACTTCCAGACACTTCTCTGAGCCTCTCAGGTGTCCTCTTTGCAAGATTTCCATGCCTTTGGCCCTGTTTGGCCTTGATTTTCGGGCTTCCAGAATACCTGCTCACTTTTTGATGAGCCAGCCCAGCACGCACTTCCTGTCTGCACCAGGCCAGCTGGGGCTGGCTGTGGTGGAGTTGGGAAATGCGTGATGGGTCCATACAGGTCAGTCTCTCGTCTTCTGCTTTCAGGGAAAACCTGTCTGGTGAAGTTATTGTCATATGAAGATTGTACAGTTTGACAGGGGCCCCTGGAGTTTGGTGCCCTTGCCTTTGTTATTTAGACAAGTTCAATGAAAACCTTGGAGAATTACCACCTCTGTGAGCTTCAGTTTTTTCATCTGTGGAGTGGGAGTAATAATAACTCCATCCTGGGAGGTCGTGAGGACCAAAGGAGATGATTCATACAAAGAGCTTGGCTAGTGACTGGTACATAATAGGTGCTCAAAAATGAAAGCCATTATCATGATTACCAACTTAATAGTGACTCCAGTTGGCTGTGAGCTGGAGCTGTTTTTGGTCAGGTGAACTAACTGATCACAGAGCGGGGCAGGAGTGGAGGGGGCGGGGAGCTGTCCATGGTTCTGCAGCCATTCCACCGAGATCGGTAAATGTCAGCGATCACTTATGTTGTGTCTGGTACTCTTCTAAGCACAAGAGTCTTTAGACAAAGGGAAAGCCTTTTTTTATTTTATTTTATTTTTTATTTTTTTAAAGATTTTATTTATTTATTTGAGAGAGAAAATGAGATAGAGAGAGCATGAGAGGGGGGAGGGTCAGAGGGAGAAGCAGACTCCCTGCTGAGCAGGGAGCCCGATGCGGGACTCGATCCCGGGACTCCGGGATCATGACCTGAGCCGAAGGCAGTCGCTTAACCGACTGAGCCACCCAGGCACCCCTGAGAGGGAAAGCCTTTTATCTGGACGCCCAGACAGTCATACGTGTACACAGGGGAGAGTGACATGCCCCTGTTAGTAAGCTTGGGACTATCTCATGTGCGTGCATATATGTAGGCATTTAAAAAAACATGGTGTGTGTGACATGAGTGTATTGTGCGTGTGTGCGTGTGCACGTGTGTGTGTACGCACGTGGGGTGGGGGGAATAAATGATGAATGGGCGGGGTTGAAGTGAAGAAGGGAAGGAGGGGTACTGCTATAATGTAACTCACCTGGGTAAACTAGCTGGTGAGAAGGCCCCAGCTTGGCTACCAGGGAGAGGCTGACTTCCTAGAACTTCCTGGGGAGAGTGAAAGGTACACTGGCCCCCACCCCATGCCCCTCCTGGCCCACCAGAACAGAGTAAATCTGAGGCCAGAGTGGAGCTGCTCTCCTGCAGGGCATTCCAAACTAATTTTCTGGTACATTATACACTTGGCCTTTTGAACAATCAATAGCCTTAAATGCTGTTTGGTTCCTGCAGCCATATCCAAGAAAAATAAGACATAATCCATCTGGCTGATATGGCCAGAGCAGGAAGGGAAAAGGAGAGAGAAAGAGGGAGGCTAGAGCTGCCCTGGGGATCTCTGCTTGGCTCAGGGAGGCGGGGGGGACTGGAGGGACCTGCCAGCTCTCGAGAGAATGGGCCTTTAAGAGATATTGATGGCTGGCTGATCACAGCCCCATTTGTCTCAATGCATCCTACCCATAGAGCTGTCACTACAGCAGAAGCGGAGTTCAAATGGGGAAGGGCTGGGATAAGACTCAGGATGTGGGGTTAAGAGCGAGGGATGGTGTGGACATCTTAGAATCCTGGATGGAAGGGTCTGGCTTGGGTTTTAGTCTGGGGTTAGATTTGAGACATTCCCCTAGAAGTCCTGAGATGGCACCAGGGAGAGTATCCCTGGGGACAGGGAGCTGTGGTCCCAGAACAGTCTTGGGGCTGCTCAGAGGAACACACACCTGGCTCAAGAGAGGACAGCATAGTCCCTGCAGGCTCTGGTCTGGCAGAATACAGGCCCTGCTCTGGGGCTCAGCCTGGCAGAGGGTGGGATGTGAGGAGGTGGATGGGGGTTTCTAGACAGTAAGAGGAAGAGCAGAATCAGCCTCCTTCAGAGCCTCTGCTCCCACAGGGTGGAACTCCTAGAAGGAAAAACAGTGAGCATCTTTGGTGTCCCTGCTGCCTCTGACAGCCTAGCTGGGAGGACTGCTTCCAAGGACCTCCAAACATCCTCTGCTTCTCCCCCACCCTCAGACCTAAGCCCCATTCAGAGGAACAGATTGAAGGAGTCAAGTGCCCACCTCAGGGCTCAATTTCCCCATCTCTTTTAGAAGTGGTCTAAAGACCATTTAGACTGTCTAGAGACTGGTAGGTGGAGGATGCAGACCTCTGCTGGACCCAGGGGCTTGGGTCATTTCCCTTGCGGAATACCCAGACAGTGGGAGAAATGACATTCACAGTGTGAAGTCAATCACGTAGCCACTGCCTGGCAAGATGTGGGGAAGGCATGACCAAAGGGTTATCTGGGAGTGGTTTCCCTGGGGAAGGCACATAGATGGAACAGGGGGGAGGAAGGCAGTGGCACCTCTCTTGCCCTACCCTGCACCTGGCTCTGGGGAAGGGGACCCCCTCTAACTGCCTGTCTGCATCTTCAAGCACTGCGGGGGACACCTCAGCTTCTGGGGGCAGTGGGGTCATGCAGGGTGGGAACGCCAGTAAGGGGCCTGTCAGGGACGAGGAAGCCTAGGGTGGATACCTCCCCCAACCAGAGGGAGCCTCAAGATGGGCAGGCGGGGACTAACATGGTGAGTGATGAAAAGGTGGGAAGAAGCCAGGCTCAGCATTTGCTTGGGCCGCTGGAGGTTCCCCGGCTACTCATGGCCAGGGGCCCGGGGCACCCCTCTAGCGCTTGGCTTGAGCTGGCCCTGCTCAGCTGGAGAACCATTCCTGCTTCCTAGGTCCAGGGCAGCTGAGCCTTCAGCTAGCAGAGTGGCAACAGTCCAGCGGTAGCATCAACTCTGTGATAAGGGCGGGGCCTGCACACTTCTCCGATGGGTAATTATGCTTGGAGCATGTTCTATGGAGATGCAGGGCTTGTCTGACAAGGCACGCTCTTGTTCCTGCTGCTGAGGCAGAGCGGAGAGGCCAGGGGCTGTGGGTGACGTTGCCGCTTGGGGAACCTCTTGGGGATAATGAGCTGCAGAGCCCTAGGGGCACTCATCCAACTGGGCACCCCTGTCCCTCCCCTGGCCAGGGAAAGGAGAGCAAGGGGGCGGGGAGGGGGTGCTCAGCAAGAGGACTGCTTCGACACAGGGAGTGCTGGGAAACCTCACATATTTATGGTAACAGTTATAACTTTATTGTTTATAATTATTATAATAGCAGAGACACCAATATTTATATTGTGTTCTATACTTTTCAAAGCGTTTTCACATTTGATTTCACCATAATCCTTTCATGGAGGGACAGATTTTTATCCCCTTTGAATGATGAAAATGGGAATGGCTTGGTCACGATCACCGGGCAGAGCCACGTCCTCAGCCTGGTTTCCTGACTTGGATGTCAGAGCTCCTTCTCTGTCTCCCAAGTTGGGCAGGATCTCCCTTACAGCCACTCCCTAGCCTGGTGTCACTCCAGAGGTTCCCGTATGAGGTGACCCCAGGGCAGGAGTTGAGGGAGGGGGAGGGAGAGGAGTCCCGGGTCCCTGCATTGGGAAGTTCCTGCAGCAGGACAGGCCAGTCACCAGAGCTGATCTGAAGGCAGGACTGAAGGGCGGGCATGAACGCGGGAGACAGACCCGCTGAGTATTTCCACAGACTCACACCACAGCTGTTCTGCCATTGTAGGAGGAAGCTGGGACACTGAGTGCTATCTGCGTGAGCAGGTCCACTTTAAAAGGCACTGAGTGACAAACAGCCCTTCCCATGCTGCACGCACATGAAAATGGTGCCAATGAACACCTCGTGGATTCTGCACTGAGAACCTGGGACCCAGAAAAGATGACAGGATTGTTCCTTGGGGCCAAGGTCAACCAAGGAGGGTTGGGAAGGAAGGAAATGACAAGCTCATTAGAGGCGAAACAGAAGGCCTGGGGTGAAGGGGTGAAAAGTTTGGGATCGTGAGCATGTTAGCTTGGATGGGCGTAGGGGT